AGAGAGAGAGAGAGAGAGAGAGAGAGATTAAAAAATAAACATACATGAAAGTGAGCTTCATCTACTGCATTTTCTTCTTGTGTTAACACATTGCTGCCTTCTTACACTTTTCATTTACATGTCATTTTCAATTAAACTTTCTATCTAGATAGACACCCAGGAACTTAGCTGACTCTGAAAATTCCCTCCAACTTTGGAGGTGAGTAACCATTCATTGACTTCTTGTTAGTGAAAACAATCGATTCTGTCTTATTTGGATTGACAGAACATTCCTGTTCCTGGAACCATCTTGGATATTGAGTGAGTTCCCATAAAATGAGCAGGAATTCATCAGACATATATCAGGATGAGTTGATTTCAAAAATACATTTAGAAAAGAGGACCATCAGTTTTTGTTATTGTTAATTTGCTTTCATGGGATTAAAAAAAATGAGCTACACATCAGAATTCCTGAATGCAACCTTAAATTCAAAAGTATTTGTTTTTCCAACATTCGAGATGGTCTAATTCTGGATTCTGATTGGTCRAAGATAACGGTAGGAGGTGACCTCAGCGGAAAAACTCAGAACTGCCTTCCTATAAAAACCAGGGCTGCAGGTGAAGTCCTCTCATCAACAGGATCACTCAGCAATCATGAGGTCTCTGGTGTTTGTTCTGCTCATTGGAGCTGCTTGTAAGCACTTCTTTTTATTAGTATTCAACTGGTCCGATATCCGAGTTTTAAAACTCTCAATTTGATTTTAACCCTTTTGTCTTCTGTGTTTCCAGTTGCCTTGGATGACGACAAGATCGTCGGAGGGTATGAGTGCCCRGAACACTCTGAGCCCCATCAGGTGTCTCTGAATGTTGGCTACCACTTCTGCGGTGGCTCTCTGGTCAATGCAAACTGGGTTGTGTCTGCTGCTCACTGCTACCAATCGTAAGTGTACAAAATTACTTGTTCCTCTATACACCTAAAGGTTTGATTTACTTGGGTTAGCTTTGGTTATTTTTGTGTGTTTGCACTCAGTATGTGTCTTTGAACTAATTCTAGCCGCATCGAGGTGCGTCTGGGAGAGCACCACATCAAGGTCACCGAGGGAACCGAGCAGTTCATAGACTCTGCCAAAGTCATCCGCCATCCTGAGTACAACTCCTACTACATTGACAATGATGTCATGCTGATCAAGCTGAGCAAGCCCGCCACCCTCAACTCATACGTTCAGCCTGTGGCTCTGCCCAGCAGCTGTGCTTCTGCTGGCACCATGTGCAGAGTCTCCGGTTGGGGCAACACCATGAGCTCCAGTGAGTGCTGAAAGAAGGTTTTACCATGTATGTTTTGAGTTTTTAACCATGTTTTATTAATGCATTTTTCCATGTTTCAGCTGCTAACAGGGACAAGTTGCAGTGTTTGGATATCCCCATCATTGCCGACGAGGACTGTGAAAAATCCTATCCTGGAATGATCTTCCCCTCTATGTTCTGTGCCGGATACCTGGAGGGAGGCAAAGACTCTTGCCAGGTATGTAACAAGTTGAAACTTTAGAGGCTGCAAGCAGAGAACTTCAGTCAATACAAGAAATTTTTAATGATTTCTCAAGAACAATATCAGTGAACTCAGTCATGTTTGTTTCTCTTTGTTATCAGGGTGACTCTGGTGGTCCTGTTGTGTGCAACGGTGAGCTGCAGGGTATTGTGTCCTGGGGCTACGGATGTGCTGAGAAGGACCACCCTGGTGTCTACGCCAAGGTGAAAATTATCTCAATATTTTTGCATCACATACTGTGTTTTATATAACATCTTAAAGGATTCATGCATTAAAACTCCTCGTACTTTCTCTGTTCTCAGGTCTGCATGTTCAGTGACTGGCTGCAAAGCACCATGGCCAATAAYTAAACCTGAGCTTTCCTCAACCATCCAACACTGCTGCAGTTCTTCTGTCATTCCAACTATTTGGATAGTTTGTTCAGAACAATGTGCTGCCAGGTTCACTCAAATAAATAACATCTCAACATCTAACCCCCATTTTTGTCTTGTCATAATTCATCTGTGTTGGCTAACATAAAATAAACCAGTGATATTTAAAAAAACTTAAGTTTGGAGAGACAGTTAAAGTCTGATCAGAGTAATGAGCTAATGAGTAGTCTAAGCTATTAGCTCATCTGTGTAGTCATAATTAAAACTTAGATTTTCCAACAATGTCAAAGAGCAAGAGAAGCTGTTTAATTCCAATACATAACATTCTCCTCTTTGTGTTGTGTGTGCCTATATCTGGCAGTGACACTATAAAGTCATACAACAATATGTGATCCAGTCTATTCCTCCAAAACGGTTTTTATTTTTAATCCATCTCAAGTAGTCAGATTATTCCCAGCAAATGAATAAACTTGACTGGAAAGTATCAAACATGTGTATGGTTCAGTGAAGAACACACCCAGTGATTATAACAACATTCAACCCAATCTGACAGAAACAGATGGTGTATTCACACAATGCCTTTACTTTCAAGGCTGTGACACTCAWCAGTGTCAGCTGCATTAGACCAGATAGAAATGTGCATAAAACTTTACTGACAGGCAAACACACTTGAACATAAAGGGAGCCTAATTTGATGCATTCAAATATGTTTAAAATTAAATTTTATAATATTTTTGTTGGCAAAAATTGTGCTTTTGGTAGCCTATTTATAATTGCTTACATGGAAACAATGCATTTGGTAAAAATAAATATTTAAAAACTGCTCCCTGATAACTCCCTGTTAAATGCTGCATGTTTGGGTGTGTGTCTCTGTGTTTGTGTGTTTAAAAATCACCGAGCATTTTATATTGTTAATAAATTCCTCATAACTGTCAAAATTCTAAAAATCTAGCTAAATGATGCCCTATGTTTATTAAAGAGATTGCTAACTAACTAGCTAGCTAGTTAACTAGCTAACTAACGAGTATGCAAGTAACTACTCATACGACAGACAGATATCTGTAGAATTAAAGGGRCAATATCATGTAAAATCAACTTTTTTTGAGTTTTATATCATGTTATAATGTTATACTCTCATTAAAAAAACATGCCCAATGCCTTACTCTGACTCATTCATGCATGTTTGAGAAAACCTGCAGCGTTTTTAGGAAGCCWKGCTGAGGAGCAAAACGACAGGTGGAAACCAGAAACGCCTTTTGGTACCAGAAACACCTCTGGGACGTGTCTTTAAGCCGAACTTCCTCATGGCGGAGGCTCTCGGGTCACAGTGAAAGTGAAAGCTAGCTTCTGTGCTCTCAACATTAGTTCTCACTCAGTGAAGCTCTTTTCAGATTAAAAAAAACCTTTGAGGAAATGCATTTTCAGAAGCCAAGTAAACTGCATCATAGCAC